AACCCCTCATTATATTCTATTCCACCCATAGTGCTATGTCCATGGCTCGCGCTCATATATTGCGTGAAAGTTTATAGGTTTGAGATTACTAAAGTATGAAACAATTGCATGGCTTGTCATCGGGGTTGTGCATGATGAGAGCATTCTTGTGTGACGAAAATGAAACATGACTAAACTATATGATTTTGTAGGGATGAACTTTATTTGGCCATGTTATTTTGAGAAGACATAATTACTTAATTAGTATGCTTGAAGTATTATCATTTTTATGTCAATATGAACTTTTGTCTTGAATCTTTCGGATCTGAATATTCATACCACAATTAAGAAGAATTGCATTAAAATTATGCCAAGTAGCACTCCGCATCAAAAAATCTCTTTTTATCATTTCCCTACTCGAGGACGAGCATGAATTAAGCTTGGGGATGCTTGATACGTCTCCAACGTATCTATACTTTTTGATTGCTCCATGCTATATTATCTACTGTTTTAGACATTATTGGGCTTTATTATCCACTTTTATATTATTTTTGGGACTAACCTATTAACCGGAGGCCCAGCCCAGAATTGCTGTTTTTGCCTGTTTTAGGGTTTCGAAGAAAAGGAATATCAAACGGAGTCCAAACGGAATGAAACCTTCGGAAACGTGATTTTCTCATCAGATAAGATCCAGGAGACTTGGACCCTCCGTCAAGAAAGCCACGAGGCGGCCATGAGCGTGGAGGGCGTGCCCCCCCAGGGCGCGCCCCCCTACCTTGTGGGCCCCTCGAAGCTCCACCGACGTACTTCTTCCTCCTATATATATCCACGTACCCCAACAATCGGGGACGGAGCCAAAAACCTAATTCCACCGCCGCAACTTTCTGTATCCACGAGATCCCATCTTGGGGCCTGTTCCGGAGCTCCGCCGGAGGGGGCATCGATCACGGAGGGCTTCTACATCATCATCCAAGCCTCTCCTATGAAGTGTGAGTAGTTTACTTCAGACCTACGGGTCCATAGTCAGTAGCTAGATGGCTTCTTCTCTCTTTTTGGATCTCAATACAATGTTCTTCCCCTCTCTCGTGGAGATCTATTCGATGTAATCTTATTTTTGTGGTGTGTTTGTTGAGACCGATGAATTGTGGGTTTATGATCAAGTCTATCTATGAATAATATTTGAATCTTCTCTGCATTCTTTTATGTATGATTGGTTATCTTTGCAAGTCTCTTCGAATTATCAGTTTAGTTTGGCCTACTAGATTGGTTTTTCTTGCCATGGGAGAAGTGCTTAGCTTTGGGTTCGATCTTGCGGTGTCCTTTCCCGGTGACAGAAGGGGCAGCAAGGCACGTATTGTATCGTTACCATCGAGGATAACAAGATGGGTTTTTTATCATATTGCATGAAACTATCCCTCTACATCATGTCATCTTGCTTAAGGTGTTACTCTGTTTTTAACTTAATACTCTAGATGCATGCTGGATAGCAGTCGATGAGTGGAGTAATAGTAGTAGATGCAGGCAGGAGTCGGTCTACTTGTCTCGGACGTGATGCCTATATACATGATCATACCTAGATATTCTCATAACTATGCTCAATTCTGTCAATTGCTCAACAGTAATTTGTTCACCCACCGTAGAATACTTATGCTCTTGAGAGAAGCCACTAGTGAAACCTATGGCCCTCGGGTCTCTTTCTCATCATATCAATCTCCATCACTTTATTATTGTTTTTCTTTTACTTTTTACTTTGCATCTCTATACCAAAAATACCAAAAATATTATTTATCATCTCTATCAGATCTCACTTTCGTAACTGACCGTGAAGGGATTGACAACCCCTAAGCGCGTTGGTTGCGTTGAGCTATTGTTTTTGTGTAGGTACAAGGGACTTGTGCGTGGCCTCCGACTGGATTGATACCTTGGTTCTCAAAAACTAAGGGAAATACTTATGCTACTTTGCTGCATCATCCTCTCCTTTTCGGGGAAATCCAACGCAGTGCTCAAGAGGTAGCATGCATCAATGTCGGTTTATGTCTACAGGCCTTAACCCGCCTTTGGGCCTTGGGCCTTCAGGAAGCGCCACCATCTTTGTCTCCATGGGATTCAAATAAAGTAATCATCATGGGGATAATCCGGCCTCTCCTGGCCGATTTATGTCCGGTAGTAATATCCCCAACAGGCTGGCTTTGGATCAAAGTAGTCTCTCATGATCTTGGCATGGTCCCCCCACTCTATCACGGTTGATGTGTATGAGGTCAAACTGTGATCCTCTCCTAGGCCGCCGAACATCATCGTTGAAAATCATGCCTAAAATGGTGTCGAAGTCATCGTCGTCTTCTTCCTCTTCAGATGACGATGAGTCTTCCAAGACCATCTACGTCAACCTCGTCATTTATAATTCAAATGGCTACGTTCAATCCAAACGACTCGATTAAAAAAGAAACTAACAAAAAAACTCAACTAGGCAACTCGTCGAACACTTACAGTGCGGTGGTGGTGCACCAGCCGGCCAATGTCGTTTAGACCAAACCAACGGGTGGCGGCGCGTGCGAATGACCTGAACTGGTGTGCAAGCAAGGTGAGATGTGGTGGCTGACAGAAAATGAAGAGTTTAGAAGCAATCCGATGAATCAGCTATGCCGACGGCGGCGACATTTCACCTTGATTCCGAAGACGGCAGCCGAACGGGAGCGACATCGGGCAGAAGGACGGCAGGGGCCAAGAAAGGCAACGAGGTAGCGGCGGGGTCGGTGGTCGATCGCCGGGAGGTGCGCCGACGAAGATGAAGTGGCGGGAGGCAACACGTGGGAGAGGCGTGGCTTTTACTCGGAGCCGCAACGGCCGAGTATGTTTAGGGAAATGAGAGGTGTCACTGGATAATTTTTTCTCCCTTACAGTGAACTGGGGATTGGTTAGGTGCGCCATATGGGAGGAAAATCGAAATTATCCTCCCTTACGGTTGGATAGAGGACCGGTTAGAAATTCCCTTATGTTGGCCATCTCCTTTCCTGCTGACCAGCCTTTTGGCTGATTGTCCCAGGAATTCTTTTGTTTGAATAAAGCTCTTTAAATTCTCTGAAAAAACCTAGGCGGGTGCGCACAAGTGGAGCAAAACCGCAACTCGGTACTGCTTGTATTACGCACTTTGACACAAAACCTGAATTAATCTTGGCATTGAACGTGTTTCAGACAGACATGTACATAAAAGAAACCCTGTCGTCTGTGTCCATATTAAGCAACAAAAAACGATCGCGTCTAGCTATATGCATCTTCACTTCATGCCCTCTTGGCGCCGACGGCCTTGGTGAGCAGCGCCCTGGTCATCTCGCCGCACAGCCATTCTTGCTGTTGTGATGGAAAACGTTTATTTATCTAAAATTTATTGGGTAGAGGTTAACTCTCTTAGGCATCGGAATCATCATACATGGTCTAAAGTATTATTTTCCTTGTCTCCTAAGAGGACGCCGTCAACTCGAAGGGTGATCGAAATCACCCTGACAGTAGGTCAAAAATTATCTTCCCGTCTTCTGAGTCGACTCGAAGCGGGTGATCAAAATCACCTTAAAAAACAATCGCCTTGACACCCTCATGTGTGTCCTGTTATATAATGTTAGGTATTTTAGGTACAATACATCAAAATCATTGTAGTTGAGCACCTACACCAACCGTCCATCCAAGTGAGTCATCGAGGATTCAAATGAATCAATCGAAAGCTTAGAATTCGAAAGTACACAACAAAATTGCACAACATGTCCCCAAATTCCTCACCGGTACAAAATTTGACTTGAATTCAGTAGTAGATGTCTACTCATTTATGCAACTAGAAAAATTGATCAAACAGGTGAAGAAACAATCTAAAGCAAAGCCGCCCAACACTTCTCGACACTTGACTTGGACCTTGAATCGTCTAAATAATACATGACCCATGTTGATCGCGCAACCAGCCAGTTGGAGCAGTTTCAAAGAGACGATCAATAAAAGTAAATTGGAGAAGGCTTACCATTCCTTAAACTGATGTAGCCAAATAGTCAAAATGACTCCTTGAAGCGTGCTCTCGAAGCTCTCCAATCATGCACGGGGTGTATGGAATAATCCGTACATGCCATTTGTGTGTGCAAGGTAGTAATCACTTGGGCGGATGTCACCTAGATACTGAACCTTTAAGGTTTTCAAATGATAAGCCACTACTTTAAATGAGAAACCCAAGAAAATAACCTCGTTGTAGGGGTGAAAGTCAAGGAAGTCGACGTGCCTAAAGAAGCCTCCCCTACCATATTTAAGATCCAAAATGTTATCATTGTTAGAGCTTCTTATCTATTTTTATTCCGCCGGTTGTGGCTATCCCGTTTCATGTTTTTCTTGCTCTTTGTGAGGCTTTGCACCTTTTTGAGACCTGGAGACTTTGTTGAATCTTTTGCTTATTAATGAGATGGTCGCATGCATCGTTCTGATGCGAAGGCCGGAGGACAACCTCCTTTTCGAAAAAAAATATACTAAGATCGATGTATTACCTCACGACAAACACACCTCGGCAATGAACATAAAGTGATCCTCGCCAATACACACTATATCGTCACCTTGGACCGCCCGAGCACGGCATCATAGGATCTAGTCGCGCATTAGCCACTGTCCCCATGGCCTCGCCTTGGCGGAGAAAAGACTTATCGTGCCATTGCCTTGTACTAGATGAGAATACATCTAACAGCTCATTCTCGAAAAAAAAAATACATCTAACAGCCACGAGGATGGTGGCCATTCCATGGAATCTTGTGCAGGATCCACGGGTACATATGGGATCGAAAACACCTCATAGTGGGGTGAGACTGCAGGGTCGAACACAAGGTATGGGTCCATCTAAAGTAAGATAGCTGATGTCCTATGACCCAAGTTGCCCAGCCCTGAACTGACGGAGCCTGAATTACTCTTGCATTTGATCGCACCGGGTGCACATGCAACGACTTTTCTGTGCCCGGAAAAAAAACAGCTGCATCTAGGATCTAGCTATATACATGTGCACTTCACGCCTTCTTGGCGCCGGCGGCCTTGGCGAGCAGCGCCCTGGTGATCTCGACGCACAAGCCGGCGTTCCTGACGGCGAAGTCGTGGTACTCGTCGGAGAACACCACCTGCTCCGCGTGCTCCACCACCGTGCCCATGGCGCGCTCCTTCAGCGCGCCGCCCGAGCTGACACGATCGGCCACCTCCAGCGTCCGCAACGCATTCCCAGGATCCATCGCCGCAACCAGCCGCGCCTCACACGCCCGCCCCAGGAACGGCACGTCGTACTTGTCTGCCGCAACCAGGAGCGCGTGCAGCCGTCGCTCCGACGCCGATGTCGCCGTCGCCGCCGCAGCCGCGTCGAGGGTCCCGGTGTATAAGAAGGCCAGGAAGAGGGAGAGCTCGTCGTGGGCTAGCTCCGGGAGGGAGACGCAGCCGCCGGCGGGGGCCGCCTTGCACTCGTCGGAGCACAGCATGTGCTGGAACACCTCCGACCTCGCCGCCTGCACGCAATGCACGGCCGGGGTTAATTATTCGTTTATTCATCAGCGGGCCTAAACCCCAAAGGGCCGGCGGTGATGGTGGACATAAAGGAAGGCGGCTCACCAGGATGGCCTTGTGGGCCGGGATCGGCGGCCCATTTCCTGGTTTGACGACTATGTCGGTGTGGGCTCCCTCCACCCAGGCCGCCCCGAAGCCCTGCTCGAGGAACCCAGCCCGCTGGTTCGCCGCCTCCTCCCTGTCTCTCATCTCCTTCATCTGCTCCCATGCTTCTCTCATCCCCTGCTTCAACATCACAAAGAAAGAAAATTTAGGGTAATGACTTCCCGGCGTTACTGATTACGCATTTTAAAACTTTAACTGAACATTAGAAGCGTCAATCATGAGAGTGGCGTCAAGTGTCATTCTCACCGACCAAACTTTTCTGTTCAGACATGCATGCAATTCTGTGACGGAGACATGCGGCTCGCCGGTCGGTAAGATAGTACTGGCGGTGACGGCAGAGCAAACAAACCACGATGGACGAACTAATTAAGGCGCCCGTCGCATGCAGATGCAGGTCTTTCGTGTTTCTATGGAAACGATATTTCGCCATAGGACATCAGCTTAAGTATCTTGCTTGCTTACATGCAGAGCTCCATCACAGTTCGTGACAGCTTAAGTACACACGATTGATATGCAACATTGGAGACCATGAGGATTAATAAATTTGAGAGTTCTTGCCTTGGTGGAGCTGTCTCTGTGCTTGATCAATCCGCGGGGGGTCACCAAGCCACGCTCGTCCTGGCCGTCACCGGCGGCGTGATCGCCGTCGTTGAGGAAGGCGATGATGGCCTTGGAGCCTTCGTAGCACGGGGAGCATATGGTGTTCCTCGGAGGCCTGTAGATGGCGGCCATGGGGCCGCAGATGCAGCAGTCCATGCTTCGTTCTCCTTGGCAATGGTGGTGGTGGTGGTCGTGGTGGTGGCAGCAAGGTCGCCATTGCCGTGCGCTGCGTGAGGATATAAAGATGTCCGGGAGAAGGGAGGGAGGAGGATGGTGTGTTGCTTGCTTCTATATTTCTTTTCAAGGACTAGTATTTTTGGTGGTTGCTAGCCGACTAAAGCAACCACAAGCAGTACGTGGAACTAATTAATTAAAAATTCTCCTCCACTGTATTCTTCTAGGCTTAACTCTCATAACGAATGTACTCCAAAAGATAAAGACGTGTGAGGAATTTATCAATGTAGTTGCTGCATGGACATTGTCCACACACACTGACCTGCCATTTTCCAACACGGTAACACATATGTACTTGCATACTATTAAAATGAGCAGGATAACCAATCATCGGCAAATATTATTGCAGTTGGCTCTCGAGATTTTAATTCCCCACCAGAAAGAAAGGATGTCTTGCCTGTAAAGAAATCGTGCAGATATCGGCTGTTGGAATTTTCTTTAATGGTGGGCTTAGGTACAATTTGTCTACTGGATAAGAAAGATAGACAAGGCCAACTACTATGTACCAAACACAGCCACAGCTGTATATCAAACGCGTTTTAGCTATGTGCATAATTGATTTCGATGTAATTTTGAATCTCGGCATAACAGAGCAGTCATGATTTTTCTTTTTGAAATGGAGGTTGAAACCTCCGTCTCTGCATCATTATGATGCACACAATCGAGTCGTCTTTTTTCCTGGTGCCAAAGTGTTATATTTCTTTCACCCTTTTCCCTTAAGGTTCCCTGTGCAGTTTGTGACCAGCTGTTACTAATGCAGTAATATAATTTTGATTCTGCAATTTTCGGGGAAAAAAAGAGATCTTGATTCTGCAGTATGCTTGTGAGGTAGACAGGAGACGTATGTTCTAAGAAGGAAGGACAACAGACGGTGTCTTCAGTTCCGTGTTTCTTTCCCTCTCTCCTCAAATATGAGTGGACATCATAAGAACACAATGTTCAGAAAAATAAATTCAGACAATTGGATGGTTCTAAGATGTTGCATGAAGGAATCATGGAGCAGAATGCTGAGAGGGACTTTCCAACCTGAGAAGAAGAGACTTTTGGGGAGCGACCTCAAAGATGTTGGAAGCTTGGAGGTTGGCACGTACTACATCATTAACAGGTTAACCACTACCCCCCAACTCATCCGACCCGACCATATCTGCATGAGTTGTTTCGGTTGGAACGAAATAAACAAGAGGCCGGAATATGATTGTTGGAAGAATGTTTGCCACGTAGTATTGATTGTGACAACGGCAACATTGTATACAAATTTAACAATCCAACAAATATACGCAGAAAATATGTGTAAGTGTAATCATATCTGTTTCGTGGGGAATTTGAAGGCATGTTCGTGCAATCACTGTCTCAGAAAGCGCCGCGCGCCAGTGTAAAAAGTGCGGTCCTTTTTTCCAATTGATTGTACTAGCTTAACAAGCATGTAAGGTGTGCGCATTGATGATAAAGCGTGCGTTTGTTGGTTTATCAATCAAGCTGCAACGCCATCGTCGATCATCTATATATCAAACTGAAAGGAGATCGGAACTGCAAACGTGCGTAAGAGTAGGTTTGTGCGTACGTTCGCCTAGCCTGTCGTCGTGCAATCACGATCACCGAGAGGTAAACGGGGTATGAATCCGGCGTTCATCATGCATGGTCCTGCATGTCAGCCGGCTAGCCGTAGCGTAGGATCGGTCGGGCTGCCTTTTCTTTTGAAACGGAGGCAAAAACTTTGCGTCCTGTATAAAGAAAGAATAGATTTTTTTGCATCACACATCCTTAACACAATATGGTGATTACTCTTGCAAAATAAAAGATCCTAACTTCTTTGCCTTAAGGGCAGTGGCGGAGCTTGAAAGAGAAAGTTGAACGGGCCGGACTAAAGAAGAGCACAATTTTTTTTTCCAAATTATGAATCATAAGGACATGTCACAAGGTTTTGCTAGAAGATATGTATATAATATGTACCAAAATCAATTCTCTTTTTCTTTTGAAGAACAAATCAATTCTTTATGAGTCTGATTGTCCTTGCCCATGAGTACCTAATTGCAATTTGCATAAAATCAAATCATTAGGTTTTTATTTATCACTACTTCACTAGCAAGACTGATCACTGGATGCATGGAACTGAACAAAATCTCCAAGTCAAAGAATCAGACTATTGCTTATCTAATTGACCATGTACCTGTGTGATGCGGCAGGGGGCTCGCTCAGGTCATGCGACTTGGAGTCGGAGGAAACCAACGGCAGGAATTGATGGCTGGCAGCACGCACTGGTAACTGGTGGTCGGTTGCTCCACAGCGCTCCGGTTGCTCCACGGCGGTCGGCAGCGTCTACAGAGAAGATGGAGAATTGGGGAAGTGCGTGCCTGAGACGAGGAGACGAGATGTTGTACATGTGCATGCGTGGGCTCAGTGGGCTGGGCTAAGATGACACATAGTTAATTTATTTTTGACAAATTCCTGGGCGGGCCATGGCCCTGTTCTGCCCCTACAGAGCTCCGCCCTTGCTTAAGGGTGACCCAAAGGCTTGCTGATACGTTTTCAACGTATCTATAATTTTTTATTATTCCATTCTGTTATACTATATATCTTAGATGTTTTACATTTATTTTATAGCAACTTTATATATTTTTTGAGACTAACCTATTGACATAGTGTCCAGTGCCAGTTGCTGTTTTTTTGCTTGTTTTCTACTTCGCAGAATATCAATACCAAACGAAGTTTAAATACCACGAAACTTTTTGATGATTTTTTTCTGGACATAATACAACTTGAGAGCCAATGAAGTGCCCTAGGGGAGGCCCACAGGGCCCACAAGGCACCAGGGCGTGCCAGAGGCCCCTGGCGCGCCCTAGTGGGTAGTGGGGCCCACAAGCCCCCTCTCCACCGCCTATCAGCTTATAAATACTTTAAAATCCCAAAACCCTAGGGGAGCAGAGAGATCAGGGTTTCCACCGCCGCAAGTTCCAGAACCATGAGATCCAATCTAGAGGCCTTTTCCGGCACCTTGCCGGAGGGGTCAACGATCACGAAGGGGTTCTTCATCAACACCCTTGCCCCTTCGACGTTGCATGAGTAGTTTACCACAGACCTACTGGTCCGTAGGCAGTAGCTAGATGGCTTCTTCTCTCTTTTAAATCTTCAATACAATGTTCTACTCGATGTTCTTTGGAGATCTATTTGATGTAACTCTTTTTTTGCGGTGTGTTTGTTGGGATCCAATAAATTGCGAGTTTATGGTCAGATCTATCTATGAATATTATTCGAGTCTTTGTTGAACTCTCTTATGCATGATTATTATAGCCTTGTATTTCTTTTTCGAAATTTTGGTTTGGTTTGACCAACTAGATGTTGGGGAACATAGTATTAATTTTTTTTGCCTACGACCACATAAGATCCATCTAGAAGAAGCATAGCAACGAGCGGGGAGAGTGTGTCCACTTACCCTCGTAGACCGAAAGTGGAAGCGTTTAGTAACGTGGTTGATGTAGTCGAACGTCTTCGCGATCCAACCGATCCAAGTACCGAACGTACGGCACCTCCGCGTTCAGCACACGTTCAGCTCGATGACGTTCCTCCGGCTCTTGATCCAGTTGAGAAAGAAGGAGAGTTCCGCCAGCACGACGGCGTGGCGATGGTGATGATGAAGTTACCGGCATAGGGCTTTGCCTAAGCACTACGACGATATGACCGAGGTGTGTAACTGTCGAGGGGGGGGGGCACCGCACACGGCTAAGACAAATCTTGGAGTGCCTCTGGTGTGCCCCTGCCCACGTATATAAAGGAGCGAGGAGGAGGAGGCCAGCCTAGGAGGAGCGCGTCTATAGGGGGAGTCCAACTAGGATTCTCAATCCTAGTTGGAGTCCCTTCCTTTTCCATGAGGGAAGAGAGGGAAGGAGTAGGAGAGGGAGAAGGAAGGAGAGGGGGGCGCCACCCCCTCTCTAGTCCAATTCGGACTTGCCATTGGGGGAGGGCGGGCAACCCTTGAGGCCCTTCTCTCCTTTCCCGTATGGCCCATTAAGGCCCACTACTTCCCTGGCGAATTTCCGTAACTCTCCGGTACTCCGAAAAATACCCGAATCACTCGGAACCTTTCCGATGTCCGAATTGTTGGGGGACGCAGTAATTTCAAAAAAAATCCTACGCACATGCAAGATCCATCTAGGTGATGCATAGCAACGAGAGGGAAGAGTGTTGTCCACGTACCCTCGTAGACCGTAAGCGGAAGCATTATGACAACACGGTTGATGTAGTCGAACATCTTCACGATCCGACCGATCCTAGCACCGAAGATACGACACCTCCGCGATCTGCACATGTTCAGCTCGGTGACGTCCCTCGTACTCTTGATCCAGTTGAGGCCGAGGGAGAGTTTCGTCAGCACGACGGCGTGGTGACGGTGATGATGAAGTTACCGGCGCAGGGCTTCGCCTAAACACTACGACGATATGACCGAGGTGTGTAACTGTGGAGGGGGGCACCACACACGGCTAAGAGGTTGTCTGTTGTGCCTTTGGGGTGTCCCCTGCCCACATATATAAAGGAGGGAGGAGGAGGCCGGCCCTAGAGGGGCGCGCCAAGTGTGGGGAGTCCTACTAGGACTCCCAAGTCCTAGTAGGATTCCCCTTTTCCTTTCTGGAGTAGGAGAGAAGAAAGAGGGAAAGAGAGAGGGAGTAGGAAAGGGCAAGGGGGGGCGCTGCCCCCTTTCCCTAGTCCAATTCGAACTTATGGGGGGCGCCTCCTTCCCTTTGGCCTGCCTCCACTACTCCCGTATGGCCCAATAAGGCCCAATATTTCTCCCGGCGAATTCCCGTAACTCTCCGGTACTCCGAAAAATACCCGAATCACTCGAAACCTTTCCGATGTCCGAATATATCCTTCCAATATATCGATTTTTACCTCTCGACCATTTTGAGACTCCTCGTCATGTCCCCGAT